GTTTTCCTTGAATTATAACAGAATAAAATAAACCAGGCGATAAATATTAACTCCAATCACATTGGATATAGGAAAAAGGAAGAAATCGGATGGGAAATGATCTTGAGTGGAATGGATGAGTGGAATAAGCATGAGATAATAGTTCCTGATGGACCTGAAACGAGATGGAGGGTCTTATCTCGGTAGTAAACAGGAAAGGAAGTTCTGTAGCCCTTACAGAAAGAAACACACCCGGATACACCCAGCTCTAGAAAATAAACGAATTTCATTCATCTATTTCAGACATACCTTGTATATTTAATAAGAGTATTCGATAATGTGTCGAAAAATTTCTTTCAAATTCTATTCTTACACAATTTTCATTCTTATATACAATTTTTAATGAGTGTTGATAAATGGATAAATATCGATAGATTCTTAACTCTCATTTGAAGATTTTCCCAAATTTCTACAAGCTTTTTATTTCTTTCCATTCTTGGATTTCGAAATAAGAAATATCTCTTGTATCTCTTCTCTTTGATTAACTTTCGTAAAACATATTTCTCTAGAAAAAGATGGCTCCACGATATTCAACGCCCATCCTAAACAAAGAAGGTTATCGACGATTATTTAACAAAAGAATTATATTTAACAAAAGTACGTTTAACATGGAGAGAGATAACATTTCGCTCTCCTCTGATGTCTCCTCACGTGTGTTTTTCTAAGATGCATGACATACGTTCGACTGAAAATTATCAGGAATTAAATGCCATTAAATTTACGATTGCTGGCCGACAATTACCATAGAAAGTGGAGAGGAAGACGCGCGCGCCGGTTACCCTTTGGTAGCGGTAATAACAGGGGAGGTCTGAAATTGTGGTTTCACCCGATATTCCTTTTTTCTCGATAGGTGGATCGTGTCAGGATTTATTGGTCGCGTTGATCACAAACGCGCTTATCAATGGTTGGTCCCATTCGTGGATAAACAGTTTTAATGCATTATATATATGTATTTTTCATTATGAGGCAAATGGAGTTTGGGATGGAGTTTGGGAAAAGTTTGTCACCTTACATTTAACGATTAAGGATAAATAATTTTCTTTGATATTTTAACTTCCATATACGCGTTTGTATTTTTATTGACTGATAGTTTATATTTTACGTAGAAAGTTTTTCTAACTCGTAATTCAGGCTCGAAAGTGGATCGTTGTTTGTCAAATTAACGAGTTTAGTGAGTAGAAAATTTTTCCAGAATTTTTGGACAATTTTCTTGAGTATTTTTTTTTTTTTTTTTT